AATAGGGAGGCTAAATTGATATTGAAGGCCTTTTCAGAATTATAAACATTAGGAGTTGTATCTAAATATAACTAACACTGTCATTGATACATTGATAGATGAACTATTCCACCTCTTATGATTCAAACACAAAAACTGCTTCCAACTCATGAAAGCTACAATCTCCCTCCAGTTCTTATTTCTTTTATTTGATTTTGTTGTTATTATTTGGAGGCTGGTTTTTTTTTTGTTTGGGTTTGAACTTTCGGATATGTGGAACTTTCCACCTGCTTGTTTTATAGCAATTTATCCATTCTAGGGCAAAAAACTCCCTCAATTCATTTGTAAATTCAGTGACTAAATTTTGAAAAATCCTAAATGTATTTTAAAAATTTGTTAAAATATTTTATATAAATAGCCCAAAAATATAACTGTGAATGTAATTTCCATCCATTCCTTTTCTTGTAAATATGCATTGAGTAAACAGACCTAAAATCAGAAGTTTCCTGGCAGTGGGAACAATTAACCAGTGACTTGCCTCTTTGAGTTATGGGTGCGCCATCACTGGAGGTCTTCAAGAAGACATTGGAGAATCATTTGTCTGGAATAGCATAGGGTCTCCTGCTCGAGCAGGGTGGTCAGACTAGAAGACCTCCAAACTCCCATCCAACTGTTATTCTGTTAATCATTGGAATGACTTTCCTCCTAGATTTGTGGGTGCTCCATCACTGGGGGTCTTCAAGAACAGATTGTTGTTGTTAGTTGCAAAGTCTTGTCCAATCCATCACGACCCCATGGACCACGTTCCTCCAGGCCTTCCTGTCCTCTACCATTCTCTGGAGTCCATTTAAGCTCACGCCGACTGCTTCAGTGACTCCATCCAGCCACCTCGTTCTCTGCTGTCCTGTTCTTCTTTTGCTCTCAATCTTTCCCAGCATTAGGCTCTTCTCCAGGGAGTCCTTCCTTCTCATTAGGTGGCCAAAGCATTTGAGTTTCATCTCCAGGATCTGGGCTTCTAAAGAGCAGTCAGGGTTGATCTCCTCTAGGACTGACCGGTTGGATCGCCTTGCAGTCCAAGGCAGTGGTGAAATCTAAAATTTGTTACTACCGGTTCTGTGGACGTGGCTTGGTGTGGGGGGGTAATGTGACTGGGTGGGCGTGGCCAATTTTTTTTTTAACTTTTAAAACCATTTTTTCTACAACCTCTTGGGCGAAGAGGTTGTAAAGAAATGCTTTCAAAAGGCTCTGACGATTCCAGCTGAGTTGCCTGATTGGCAGAGACTTTTTTTCTTTTAAATGCCTCTGACAATCAGGGAACTCAGCTTGGACTGTCAGAAGCTTTTAAAAGAAAAAAAGCCTCTTCTGACCCCTTTTTTTTTTCTTTTAAAAGCCTTTGATAATCCCAGCTGAGCTGCGCAATCATCAGGAGCTTTTTTTTTACTTTTAAAAGCATTTTTTCTGCTGAAGAGGTTGTAGAAAAAATGCTTTTAAATCTGCTGATCAGGCAACTCAGCTTGGATCGTGAGAGGCATTTAAAAGAAAAAAAGGGTTTTTTTCTTTTAAAAGCCTTTGATGATCCCAGTCGAGCTGCGTGATCATCAGAGGCTTTTTTTTTTTACTTTTAAAAGCATTTTTTCTGCCGAAGAGGTTGTAGAAAAAATGCTTTTAAAAGTAAAAAAAAAGCCTCTGATGATTGTGTGGCTCAGCTGGGCATGGGGGGGGGCAGGCAGGGATTTTTGCTACCGGTTCTCTGAACCACCCGCCTTCATCGCTACCGGATCGGGCAATCCGATTCCGAACCAGGAGCATTTCACCCCTGCTCCAAGGGACTCACAGAAGTCTTCTCCAACACCATGGTTCAAAGGCCTCAATAAGAAGAGATTAGACAACCATTTGTCCAGGATGGAATAAAGTTTCTTACCTTGAGCATGGGGTTGGATTGGAAGACCTCCAAGCTCCCTTCCAGCGCTATCATTCTATGACTCCGTGTTTTATTAAAGCCGGTAGTATGAGAAGATGCCACTAGACTTTCGATTTTGGGCTAATGTAGACTAACATGTCTCTCCTCCTAATGGGAATAGACTTAGTAATTGGCTGTCTGTAGAAGTCATAAATCCAGAAGGGTCAGTGGATAAAGACTGTGAGGTTGATGGGACAGCAGTCTGGGTATTAATGGAGTCTGGATTAGTGCAAAGGACAGGAGAGAAGAAGGGGAAAAAAATGAAACAAAACATGAACGAAACACATCCCTGCCATCTTGAAGTGTTGTGGAGGGTTGTGAATTATAGCATCTGCTGCCTGAAATCGAATAATGATAGGAGACTATAAAAGAGACTGATTCACATTTTAATGGAATTCCTCAAGAGTTCATGAGTGTATATCTGTTTACTTAGTACTAAAATCCTCATTCCAATTTTGGCTGAAAATTAATCTGAAAAAATTCTGACAAAAGGGGTGATTTATAGGGGCTCAAACGGAATTCTACATCCCCTCCAGTACCTGTTCAGATTATATCTGCCGGCAAGAATACATTGTTATTAGAAATGGACGATAGAACCTAAAAGAAAGAAGAAACTTCCTGATTTACGGCGATTAATCAGTGGAACAACCTGCCTCCAGAAGTTGTGGATGCTCCATCACTGGAGGTTTTGAAGAAGAGATGGGTGGGCATTTGTCTGGAATGGAATAAGGCAGGGGTGTCCAACCTTGGCAATTTTAAGACTTGTGAACTTTGACTCTAGAATTCCCCAGCTGGTCATATTGGCTGGGGAATTCTGGGAGTTGATGTCCACAAGTCTTAAAGTTGCCAAGATTGGACGCCCCTGGTATATAGTTTCCTGCTGCAGGAGAGGGTTGGACTAGAAGACCTCTGAAATCCCTTCCAGCCAGGGGTGAAATCCAGCAGGTTCTGACAGGTTCTGGAGAACCGGTAGCGGAAATTTTGAGCAGTTCGGAGAACCGGTAGCGGAAATTTTGAGTAGTTCAGAGAATGGCAAATATCACCTCTGGTTGGTCCCAGAGTGGGGAGGGAATGGGGATTTTGCAGGATCCTTCCCCCAGAGTGGGGTGTGAATGGAGATTTTGCAATATCCTTCCCCTGCCACGCCCACAAGACACGCCCACCAAGACACACTACGCCCACCAAGACATGCCCACAGAACCGGTAGTAAAAAAAAACTGGATTTCACCACTGCTTCCAGCCCTATCATTCTATGATTCTAAGCCTGTGTTTTATTGAAGTTGGTTGTATGACAAGAAGACGCCATTAGACTTCTGATTTTTGGCTAATATAGACTAACGTGGCTCTCCTCCCAATGGGAATAGACTTAGTGATTGGCTGTCTCTAGAAGTCATAAATCCAGAAGGGTCAATGGCTAAAGACTGAGTTGATGGGACGGCACTTTGGATATTCCCCATATTGACTGGTGAATTCTGAGAGTTGAAGTCTTAAAGTTGCCAAGGTTGGACACCACTGGTATAGGATCTCCTGCTGGAGCAGGGGTTGGACTAGAAGACCTCCAAGGTCCCTTCAGCCCTTTGATTCTATGTTCTATCTTACAAACGAATGAATTAATAGCCTTTTGAATCATGAAATCAGTCCTTCCTGAGCACACATTCCCTGATCTCTTCAGATCCTCTCAATATCCCTGAGAAAGCTTGTAGCAAACCATAGGTCACCTCCTCCACCTCCAAGAGATTCAATGAAATGTGAAATGTTGCAATGAAAACTCTGCGATAGAAATTATAAATTAACAATGGCAACTACATACAAAGAAAACCTGTATAAAATGCCACCGGCAAGATTAGCAAAGATGTTTAAAAATATGTCCGCCAAATGTTGGAAATGCAAGCAGATACCCGGTTTGTACTATCATAGAATAGAATAGAATAGAATAGAATAGAATAGAATAGAATAGAATAGAATAGAATAGAATTTTTATTGGCCAAGTGTGATTGGACATACAAGGAATTTGTCTTGGTGCATACGCTCTCAGTGTACATAAAAGAAAAGATACGTTCATCAAGAATCATAAGGTACAACACTTAATGATAGTCATAGGGTACAAATAAGCAATCAGAAAACTATATCAATATAAATTCTAAGGGTGCAAGCAACAAAATTACAGTCATACAGTCATAAGTTGAAAGAGATGGGTGGTGGGAACGATGAGAAGAGGTGGACATGTCTAAAGGCAAAAAAAAGTTGGACAAAAATACATATATGGTTACTTTAAATGATAAAGCAACATATAGATTTAAAACCAGAAATATTTTTGTTAGGTATACCACCAGAAAAATATGACAATGGGGATATATATTTGATATTACATATTTTGACAGCAGCGAGAATTGTATTTGCACAACAATGAAAAAATGAGGAACCTCCTTCAGATGAAAATATAATCAAAAGAATATTAGATTGTGCGGAAATGGATAGGTTAACATTAAAGATAAAGGACAAAGAAGATACAGAATATTTTTTTAACTTGGGATTTGTTTTGTCAATGGTTAGATAATAAAGGCAGAAATTAGAAGTCGGAAGGATACCATTATATATAAGTAAAGAATATTATTGCTATTATTATGTATATGTAAATTGACTCAGACAATACACTGTTTATTAAGCAGTCATATCAGAGGTGGGTTTCAGCAGGTTCTGACCAGTTCTGGAGAACTGTTAGCGGGAATTCTGAGCAGTTCGGAGAACCGGCAGTAAAAATTCTGACTGGCCCTGCCCCCATCTATTCTCTGCCTCCCAAGTCCCAGCTGATCGGGAGGAAATGGGGATTTTGCAGTATCTTTCCTTTGGAGTGGGGTGGGAATGGAGATTTTACAGTATCCTTCCCCTGCCACGCCCACCAAGCCACACCCACAGAACTGGTAGTAAAAATTTTTGAAACCCACCACTGACTCATATATGTTAAAGAAAAATGTATAAATAAAATTTTCAAAAAAGGCAATATGGTGTTATGCTTGACAGTTCTCCTAAAAGGATCTTCCTGTTGTTGTTGTTGTTCCAGGTTGTGATCAGGACCACTGGGGCCCTCACTGCAGCAACCCTTGCCAGTGCCGGAATGGAGCTCTGTGCAACCCCATCACTGGCGCCTGCGTGTGTGCGCCAGGATACAAAGGATGGCGCTGCGAGGACTTGTGTGAGCCGGGAACTTACGGGAAAGCTTGCCTGCTCAAGTGCCAGTGTCATAATGGGGCAACCTGTGACCACAACACAGGAGAATGTCATTGTGCACCTGGCTACACGGGAGTTTTGTAAGTCAAGGGGCCGTGTGGGCTTTACGTTCAGGGGATGTAATAGCCAGTTTTGTGCAGAGGTGAAGGTCTCGGGTTAGAAACCAGAAAATTGTGAGTTCAGGTCCTGCTGTAGGCATGAAGCCAACTGGGCCAATCATTTTCTCTCAGCCCTAATAGAAATAGAAATAGCACTTAAGACTTATATACCACTTCACAGTGCTTTACAGCCCTCTCTAAGCAGTTTACAGAGTCAGACTTTTGCCCCCAACAATCTGGGTCCTCATTTTACTCACATCGGAAGGAGGGAAGGTTGAGTCAACCTTGAGCCTGGTGAGATTTGAACTGCCAAATTGCAGGCAGCTGGCAGGCAGCAGAAGTAGCCTGCAGTACTGCATTCTAACCCCTGCGCCACTGTGGCTCTTTAAAGAAGAAGACAAGGGCAAACCATGATTAGAAATGGGTTTAGAAATTGCCTAGAAATGCCAAGAAAATTGCAGGGACTTGTCCCAGGTAGTTGCCAGGAGTCAAACCTGATCCAAACGCACAAAATAATACTCAGGACAGCTTACCCCTAACATCATCGAACAACAGCATCTGCCTATCTGCGTGATGGCGAATCTGTGGCACGCGTGCTAGATGTGGTATACAGAGCCCTCTCTGTGGGCACGTGCGCTATAGACAGTTGCTCTTCTGGTTTCCAGAATGCGCATATGCGCTGGCCAGGTGGTCTTCGCGAGCACTGGAAACCTGAAGATCAGCAGGCCAGCGCGCATGCGCACACCGGAAACCCAAACACAAGGTGGCCGGTGTGTGTATGCACAGTGGCCAGCTGGTTTTTGGGTTTCCAGCACTCTGGCTCACACGCACGCATGCACATGTTCCGGTTTGGGTACTCAGTGCCGAAAAAGGTTTGCCATCACTAGCCTATCCCATGTCCTTAAGAAGAACTTGATAGGTGGCCAAAAATTGCAAATCTAGTCTGAACATCTGGCTGACTGTGCAACAACTCATAATAGCAATTACTTAGAGATCAGGACACGGTGGCTGAGTGGCTAAGACGCTGAGCTTGTCGATCGAAAGGTCAGCAGTTCAGCGGTTCGAATCCCTAGTGCCGCGTAACGGGGTGAGCTCCCGTGACTTGTCCCAGCTTCTGCCAACCTAGCAGTTCAAAAGCACGGAAAAAATGCAAGTAGAAAAATAGGGACCACCTTTGGTGGGAAGGGAACAATGTTCCATGCGCCTTTGGTGTTGAGTCATGACCACAGAGACGTCTTCGGACAGCGCTGGCTCTTCGGCTTTGAAACGGAGATGAGCACCGCCCCCTAGAGTCAGAAACAACTAGCACATATATGCAAGGGGAACCTTTACCTTTACCTAGAATTCAGGGGGAGGTCTGTTAATGACCTGGTTGTTCCCAATGTACCACTTCCCATCGTTATCTTCTATAGTAAAAAGAAAAGAAAAAATCACCCCATCTTCTGCATGGGGTGTCAACAAGCATTTTGGGATTCAATGAAGTCAGCAACTTTCTTTAAGAACATTAAGATGATACAGATTCTTGAAAGCCTCCAGTGATACAGATTAACAGAGTTGGAAGGGACCTTGTAGGTCATCTAGTCCAACCCCCCGCCCAAGCAGGAGACCCTACACCATTTCTGACAGATGGCAGTCCAGCCTCTTCTTGAAAACGGTTTGAAATTTTGAGAGATCAGAATTCCGATGCTGAAAGATTTCAACAACCTCATTCATAAGAGCCTGCAAGATTTCACTGCTCCTGTCCCAGAGCTCAGAGGAATATAGTTGGTCCTCAGTTTACGACCATAGCACAGGTAGTCCTCGACTTACAACAGTTCATTTAGTGATCATTGAAAGTTACAAGGGCATTGAAAAAAAAAGAGACTTACAACCATTTTTCACACTTACGACCGTTGCAGCAGCCCCATGGTCACGTGACTTATCTTATGCGACTTTCTGACGAGCAAAGTCAATGGAGAAGCCAGATTCACTTAACAAGCGTGTCCCTAATTTAACAACCGCAGTGATTCACTTAACAACGGTGGCAAGAAAAGCCGTAAAATGGGGCAAAGCTCACTTAACAAATTTCTCACTTTGCAACATAAATTCTGGGCTCAATTGTGGTCATAAGTCGAGGGCTACCTATAGGTCAATTTCCATGCAACAGAAGGGCAGGCAGCGCCAAGGGCTACCGAAGCCCCCATTTCTCTCTCAGATCAACGGAACCCCAGAATTAAATTTTAAAAACCCCATTAGCTAAATCTTACAAGATCTGAAATTTGAGAGCACGGCTGTTTCTTGCCTGAGAGTATGGTTCCTATACAGAGGTGGGTTTCAGCAGTTTCTGACCAGTTCTGGAGAACCGGTAGCAGAAATTTTGAGTACCGTATTTTTCAGAGTATAAGACACACCTTTTTCCCTAAAAAAAGAGGGTGAAAATCTGGGTGTGTCTTATACTTGAAATGTAGCCCTGCCCAGCCTTGCAAACAGAGAGTTCAGAGGCTGAAAGAAGCTTCAGAAAAAAAGCCTCTGAAAGGCTTTTATCTAAAATAATATGGCAAGCAACAAAAGAAGAATCAGTAAAGATTCTAACCAAACTATGCTAATAAATCTGAAGAATGACACCATAACCAACAGATCGGAAGAGATTAATCTACATACCAATAAAAAAAAAGGAGATTGAACAGAGTACAGATAGTCCTTCAGAAAAAAAGCCTCTAAAAGAAGCTTCCGAAAAAAAAAAAATTTTTTTCTGAAGTCTGTTTCGGAGGCTTTCAGAGGCGGAAAAAAAAGTTTTTTCTGAAACAGAGTTTCAGAAGTTTCAGAGGCAGGAAAAAAAGCCAAAAAAAAGCAAGGCACAGAGCTCACAACCAACGAACCTGTTGCTAAAATTTACCTCTGGAAACAGCTGATTGGGGGTATTCCGGGAGGTCAATCCCCCCGCCAATCAGCTTTTTTCTTATTTTCCTCCCCAAAAACTAAGGTGTGTCTTATACTCCGGTGCATCTTATACTCTGAAAAATACGGTAGTTGGGAGAACCGGTAAATACCACCTGTGACTGGCCCCACCCCCATCTATTCTCTGCCTCCCATCCGATTGGGAGGAAATGGGGCTTTTGCAGTAACCTTCCCCTGCCACGCCCACCAAGCCACGCCCACCAAGCCATGCCCACAGAACCGGTAGTAAAAAAAATTTGAATCCCACCACTGTTCCTATCCATGCGTGTTTGTGGAGCACGGGGCAGAAGTGACATCACACACGTCACAACAAGCATTGTGATGCCACAGTGACTTCCCAACAGACCCCATGCTTATAGGTCTTAATAGACCTATCATTCCCTGTGAATTGATCTGGCCGTAGAAAGCATTTATTTTTGTCCCTTCAAAACTGCCTCCCTGAGACACTGGCTATTGATTTCGTTTTCCTCGTAAATATTTATAAATGTTGTTGTTTATTGTGAACATTAGGGATCTAGGACAGATTAGAAATTCATAAAACATCAGCTTCCGTGTGTGTGCTTGTGTCTGTGCGCACCAACTTCTTCACGAGTCCATCCATCTCGATTTTCAATATGTCTGTTTGAATTGATCCTGCCTGACTTCTCCGAGTTTTATTTAGTTTCCCAACCTCGGACTTAGATGTGAGGTTTTCTCGAGGGGTTCGCAGACCGCAGTAAATCCCCTCTGTTTGTGGTCTGCTCTTAGGGACAGATTTAAAATTTCGGGTCTGTTTTTGTTAATGTTTAAAGGTAAAGGTTCCCCTCGCACATATGTGCTAGTCGTTCCCGACTCTAGGGGGCGGTGCTCATCTCCATTTCAAAGCCGAAGAGCCAGCGCTGTCCGAAGACGTCTCCGTGGTCATGTGGCCGGCATGACTCAACACCAAAGGCGCACGGAACGCTGTTACCTTCCCACCAAAGGTGGTCCCTATTTTTCTACTTGCATTTTTTACCTGCTTTCGAACTGCTAGGTTGGCAGAAGTTAATGTTAATGTTTAAAAACATGGAAATCCACCAGTTTAGATTCAGAAATAGACACGGGTTGCAATTACCCCATAGCAGGGGTGCCAAACTGGATTTCTTGGAGGGCTGGATCAGCATTGTAGTTGTCCCCCGCAGGCCAGCCAAGGAGATGGGATGGATGCCCTCCTGCAGCTCCCTGCCGGCTTCATCACTGGAGGCTTTCAAGAAGAGACTGGACTGCCATCTGTCAGAAACAGTGTAGGGTCTCCTGCTTGGGCACGGGGTTGGACTAGATGACCTACAAGGTCCCTTCCAACTCTGTGAATCTGTTAAATCTGATTTATAAGGAATCTGCCAAATGATTTGAAATGTTTTCCTTCTGGTTTTTGGGGATGTTGTGGATTCTTTCAATTGGAGGGGAAAGTTATGCACTCACCTTTAAAACTGACCCTGGCCAGAACTGGTTCTTCTGCGGACCTCCTGGGTGAAGAATTTGCATGTCTGGCCCATCATGATTCAGTGGAATTTGTGTGAACCCGAACTCACGTCCCACACATAAAGATACTTGTATTCTTACTATATCTGGTAGGCTATACAGGTAGTCCTTAATTTACGATCGCAATTGAGCCCAAAATTTCTGTTGTTAAGGGAATCACTGCATTTGTTAAGTGAGTAACCCGGTCATTAAGTGAATCTGGCCTCCCCATTGACTTTATTGTCAGAAGGTTGCAAAAGGGGATCACATGACCCCTGAACACCTGCAACCGTCATAAGTATGAGCCAAGCATCTGAATTCTGATCACGTGACCAGGAGGAATGCTGCAATGGTCATAAGGTTGACCTCAAGGTTAACTCAGCCTTCCATCCTTCCAGGTCATGGTTGTCCCAAAGGTGATTTTTTCAAGAGGCAACTGGACTTCCTTGTTTTTTTTTCTTTTGAAGATGTTTCACTACTCATCCAAGAAGCTTCTTCAGCTCTGACAGGATGGTGGGGAATGGAAGGATTTATATCTCCAAGTTTTGTTACTTTACATAAATTCTGCATTTTCTCCAGCGAGTTTAAGGAAGGACAGATACAGGATGTCCTTGGCTAATGACAGTCATTGAGCCCAACATTTCTGTTGCTAAGTGAAATATTTGTTAAGTGAGTTTTGCCCCATTTTACGACCTTTCTTCTACAGCTGTTAAGTGAATCACTGCAGCTGTTAAGTTAGGAACACTAACTTGCTGGCAATTACTGCAAGTTCGAATCCTACCAGGCTCAAGGTTGACTCAGCCTTCCATCCTTCCGAGGTAGGTAAAATGAGGACCCGGTTTGTGGGGGCAATAAGCTGACTTTGTATAAAAAAGAACACCGCTTGGGGGGGCCGAAAGCCCTACTAAGCAGGTATATACAAAAGTATGAAGGCTATTGCTTAACGCATTGTAAGCGACCCTGAGTCTCCGGAGAAGGGCGGCATATAAATTGAACCAATAAATAAATAAATAAATAAATAAGTGTGAACAACACTTATTTGTTGTTCATTGTTATGAACAATGGTCATAAGTCATTGACCATTTTTTTAAGGTGCCCTTTGTATCTTGGAATGGTCACTAAATGAAGTGTTGTAAGTCGAGGACTTACTTACTACTACCTGTATCTCACATACCTTGCTGGTCGAGGACCGTAATAAAGTTTCATTCATTCATTCATTCATTCATTCATTCATTCATTCATTCATTCACATACCTTCGAAAGCCTCAGCTGGGATTTGGGAGGCTTCAACTTGTGACTGTCCATTTTCTGAAACAGGGAAATCTTTTTTTAAAAAAAAAATAGTCCTTCCGTGAGCCGGAGTTTCTTTGGGAATAAAGATCTGTTAACGTAAACAAAAGGTTTTGAAAGAAAACCTGTCTCTTTCTGAGCGATAAATATTGGCTACCTACATTTTGCCCTCAACACTGTCGATGGGATCCGGCTGCATGATGGATGATTTGTGTATATACCGTGGAGCAATGGTGCTGTAACTTACAAAATTGCTTTGTGTCTCTTTCTATTCCATCTGGGTTGCTGGCTGCCCTTCTCCTTTCCTCGCAACCAACCCGAGCAGCTGCGAAGAGCCGTGTCCTCCAGGCAGCCACGGAGTCCAGTGCGAACAGCGATGCCCCTGCCAGAATGGAGGAACCTGTCACCACATCACGGGAGAATGCACCTGTCCCCCAGGATGGATGGTGGGTAACATTGGAGCACCCCTACAACCGAGACGAGAGAAGAATTGGAGCTCAGTCAGGGGTCCTTGGTGCTCTCTGAGATGGTGGCTTTTTGCAGAGGTTCCATTCGCAAACTAGGTGACATCAGTAGCACTGATGATGTTACCGAGTAGGGTAAGGAAATGTCTGCAAGAAACTACCAAGCTCAGAGAGCACCGTGGACCCCACGCCTACAAAATCACGAGCCTTATAATGTTTTTCTGAGAATGGAATGGAATGGAATGGAATAGAATAGAATAGAATAGAATAGAATAGAATAGAATAGAATAGAATAGAATAGAATAGAATAGAATTACAAAATGAATAGAATAGAATTACAAAATGAATAGAATAGAATAGAATAGAATAGAATAGAATAGAATAGAATTACAAAATGAATAGAATAGAATAGAATTACAAAATGAATAGAATAGAATAGAATAGAATAGAATTACAAAATGAATAGAATAGAATAGAATGGAATAGAATAGAATTACAAAATGAATAGAATAGAATAGAATACAAAATGAATAGAATAGAATAGAATAGAATAGAATAGAATAGAATAGAATTACAAAATGAATAGAATAGAATAGAATAGAATAGAATAGAATAGAATAGAATTACAAAATGAATAGAATAGAATAGAATAGAATAGAATAGAATTACAAAATGAATAGAATAGAATAGAATAGAATAGAATAGAATAGAATAGAATAGAATAGAATAGAATTACAAAATGAATAGGATAGGATAGGATAGGATAGGATAGGATAGGATAGGATAGGATAGGATAGGAGCTGGAAGGGACCTTGGAGGTCTTCTAGTCCAGCCCCCTGCTCAAGCTGGCTGGAGAATTCTGGGAGTTGAAGTCCACAAGTCTTAAAGCTGTCAAGTTTGAAGACCTCTGCCCTATACCATACCATGCCAGACAAATGGCTGTCCAGTCTAGTCTTAAAAACTTCCAATGATGGAGCATCCAGAATTCCAAGAGGCGATTCGCCTATTTATAAGAATCTCACCAAACTAACTGCACTCTTTTGGGAACAACAAGATTAGGATTTCACGAATGGTGAGGGGAGGTCTCCCAACTCTACCTTCCCCCCCCACACACACACACACACTAACTAGAGCAGGGGTCAGCAACCCGCGGCTCTGGAGCCGCATGTGGCTCTTTCATCCCTCTGCTGCGGCTCCTTGTCGCTGGTCGGCTCCACAATTGATAGGGTTTTCGGTTAGGACAGGTAGAGAAAAAAAGGATGCCACGCTAGGAAGAGACTCTATGGTGGGGTAACCGGACTTCCGGTCAGCAGAGGAAAAAGGACGCTGCGCTAGGAGGAGACTCTATGGTGGGGTAACTGGACTTCCGGTCGGCTCCAGAATTGAACGGGGGGCTTCCAGTTAGGACCATTGTGGCTCTTTGAGTGTTTAAGCTTGCCGACTCCTGAACTAAAGACTCCAGCACATCCTAGGATTTATTTTTCTTTTCTTTCCTCCCGGGTGTAGTTTCCCCATTTCCTTGACTCATCTTCATCTAGTTTATTCGTTCCCCTTTTCTCTTTCTGCCTTCCCCTCTGCGTTTTTTTTAAATCTGTTTTTGCTGCAAAGGGAAAAAGAGTTTCTACAAGTGAGGGAAAAAAGACCACGCCAAGGGGAAAATCCATTAGTTTTTTATAAATTGAGCTCTTTATTTTATAGGCAATTAATTTTAATTAGTAGATATTAGTCCAATTAAAATACATTTATTTTATTTATTTTTTTGTCTTGGCCCTGCCTGTTTTATTTTAACCTGGCTTCTGGCAGGTTTACTTATGTGCATAGATATATTCGAATACATGTACAAACCTGTCAAGATACCCATTTATCGGGATGGTGGGTCAGAAGGCATCTCTACGAAATCTGGTTTAAATTTTGAGACTGTAGTCTGTTGGGATAAACAGGGTCTCTAGGCTGGATTCAAATATTGAGCTAGACTGAAGGGTGATCTATTGAATGAATATAACAATTGTGAGTTGTAAACCATATTTTAACATCCTCCCTGGACTCTCACTGTACTGCCACAAACAGCTAGGTATGCTTTGGTAACCATTTAGTTACCTGTGCATTTTTTTTAAAAAAAATGCTTCTGTTTTTTTTTTCCCCAAAGGGAGAAAACTGCCAAATGCCAGCCTGTTGCATTATATTTATTTCTAAAATATTTGTGGGCTTTGCACAAATCCACAGATTGAGGTGGCTTTAATAAATACTGATTACGCCTTCTGTTTTTTTTATACCGTGTCTACACTGCCTTGACTTCTCAAAACTCAAGGCAGAGAAAATATGCCTCTCGTCCTCCACCCACTTAATCTCACATGGGGTGGAGGCCTAAAGCAGAACAAGAGAGGTCTTGGTGTTTGAGAAGAGGCCAAAATGCTGACATTTCAAACTAATTAACTAAATTAAAGTAAGATAACTAACTAACTGACATTTCCATTCTGAAAGCAGAGATGCTAAAATCCAGGATTAAAATGTTGGCCCTTTACTTCTGTAGATGGTTCTTCATTCCAGGTCAGAGTTCTGGGAAGACATTGTAAGGTCCCAAAATATACTTGAGTTACCAGAATGCCAAAGAGAGACTCAAGACGAGGTTTGCAAAAAGAAGCAGATTTTATTTATGGCCAAAAATAAAAATACTGAGTGGGACTATATATACAGGGACTGTATCCTGTATACAGATACAATGCATGCAAGGAGATAGCCACCCCTTGGGGAAGATATGGCGTCCTTTTTATACCCTCAGAGGCATCAGCTTAGTACCCAATTCTGGCCTCCTACTTTAGGTTTGTATATTCCTTGTTGCCTGCAAAGGAATAGAAGCCTCCCAATTAGCGTTATCTCTTCCTTGAGCATTCCTTTGTTCCCCCAATTGCTCATTTGGCCCCCTGGTTCTGCAAGGAACGAGCTTATACAGATCAAAGGTGTAAGTTAGGGCTGAAGTGTAAATTTTCCCTCCGATGATGTCTGCAGTTGCAACTGAGATACGTATCATGCTCTTAGATGGCACAAGATTGATATGGGTTCAGATCAAATGGCAGGAACATATGTTTGACAAATACCAGATACATTACAGAGGCCTAATAACAGAATAGGTTTGTTACAGGAGATATAAATATAAAGGCATAATATATGTGATACAAATACAAAGGCATATTTGTGTTACAGGAACCTAATGATCACAGAATAACAAGTTTCTACTAATTCTAGTATACCAGTATATCATATTCTAGTATTATTTATTATATCCTTATTACTGTTTTCCTTCAACATCTCCATGCATGTTCAATGTCAGACTTTTTCTTCTTCTTCTTCTTCTTCTTTCTTCTTTTCTTCTTTCTTCTTCTCTTCTTCTTCTTCTTCTTCTTCTTCTTCTTCTTCTTCTCCTTCTCCTTCTTCTCCTTCTCCTTCTCCTCCTCCTCCTCCTCCTCCTCCTCCTCCTCCTCCTCCTCCTCCTCCTCCTCTTCCTCCTCTCTTGTCTTGGGGAAAAGGGGCTTTGAGACTGGTTCATTCTGGACTCAGGCCAAGGCCTAGCCAAGGTTCATGTCCATTGCATGACTGTGTGGAAATCATATCTGGAAAAGGATTTACTTTTGGATTTAGGTAGAGGCATCCAGAAGGATCCCTCTGGATATCTTCCAAAATGAAGTCCATTTTTCAAAACCGAAAAATGGCAGTAACAGAATAACAGAGTTGCAAGGGACCTTGGAGGTCTTCTAATTTTACCCCCTCCTCAAACAGGAGACCCTATATCATTCCAGACAAATGGTTATCCAGTCTCTTCTTAAAAATTTCCAGTGTTGGAGCAATCACAACTTCTGGAGGCAAATTGTTCCACTTATTAATCGTTCTCACTGTCAGGAAATTTCTCCTTACTTCTAGGTTGATTCTCTCCTTGGTTGGTTTCCACCCGTTGCTTCTTGTCCTGCCCTCAGGTGCTTTGGAGAATAGCTTGACTCCCTCTTCTTTGTGGCAGCCCCTCAAATACTGAAACACTGCTATCAAGTCACTCCTAGCCCTTCTTTTCATCAGACTAGACATACTGTCAGGTTTCGAGGTCGTCTCAAATAAATTGCATTTCAAACAAAGTCTTTGAAGGAAAACTCCTATTTATTAAGTACGACATTCTAAATCGTACTCTATCGAAGCCAACACTGACTTCCAGACCCAAAACCCTCCCTTTCTGTTCCCCACTCCCCTGCACTCATTGGCAATCTTCCAAGTCATTCTACCCCTAATCTACCGCTCCAGCTCAAAGGAATTTCCCCCCTCCCATCCCATCTCCTAGGGGATATTATCTCCAGGGAAAATAAATAGGTGAAAAGTTAAACATCCCTTTCCAGACGCCTCCATTTCTCCTTCTTATGTCAGCACTAGAGTAAATGCAGCTTGAAGTGCTGACACATACCCAGTTCCAGCAACCATTCTTCATATGTTTTAGCCTCCAGTCCCCTAACTCAATCTCATCAGAATTGGTGCACAGAGGATAAAGCATCTGATGCCCAAATCTCTGTTTGAAATCCCACAACATCTTACAAATCAGTTTAGCAGAATCAAACTTGAAGAGGCCAACGAGTCAAGAAGTATGAGCAAGCCATCAAAACTGGTCGATGTGATCTGCACAGGGGATATTTATGAGAAAGATATGCTAATCCATCTTGTGTTCCTAAATGAATCTCAGAGGGATCCTGTTTGTCATTGTGGACAGGTCAAATCTGAGACTGAGAAGGAAATCTGAGTTAAAACTGAGACTCAGTTGTGAACCTCACTGGGTAGTCCGGACCCCAAACCTGTTGCTTAACTTAATTCAAAAAAATGTGAAACACGGGAAGGGTACAGGGTACAGAGTAGTCCCTGATTTAGAAATAGAATAGAATGAGCTGGAAGAGATTTTGGAGGTCTTCTAGTCCAACCCCCATTACAAGAGTTCATTTAGTGACCATACGAAG